GTCGTCTGTACTCGCCTAGTTATGCTTGCGGGGGTTGAGCTCTGGTTCTTGGAGTGCGCCTCTCAACTGTCAATCAACAGGTGTACAGATTCCTGAGCCTACTGGGCTCTATCATGTCTACATTTGAATCTGTGTATGGAGTCAGCCTCCACCACATCACTGCCTAATGCATTCCATCTGTTAACTACTCTGACACTGAAAAAGTTCTTTCTAACGTCACTGTGAGTCATTTGGGTACTCAGTTTCCATCTGTGTCCCCTTGTTCGAGTACCACCCGTGTTGAACTAGTTTATCCTTATCTACCCTGTCGATTCCTCTTAGAATTTTGTAGATAGAGATCATGTCTTCCCGAGCTCTCCTATCTTGTGTATGTGTGTGTGTGTGTGCGCGCGCGCGTGATTATGTTAGAGATAAATATATGTAGTAGATATAATGAAGGAAAAATTAATTGGTTAGAAAGGCGGGGTACAAGAGCTAATAGCTCAGTTCTGCAGACACAAGTTTTAAATATTAGATATACACACACACACACATACATACACACACATACATACACACACATACATACACACACACACATACACACACACACACACATACATACACACACACACACACACACACACACACACATACATACACACACACACATACATACACACACACACATACATACACACACACACATACATACACACACACACATACATACACACACACACATACATACACACACACACATACATACACACACACACATACACACACACACATACATACACACACACACGTACACCCGACAAGTAGGATATATTAGATACTCTTTGGACATGAGCCAAATTGGAGGTAATGGTCAGAGCAGAAAGAGAGAGAGAGAGAGAGAGAGAGAGAGAGAGAGAGAGAGAGAGAGAGAGAGAGAGAGAGAGAGAGAGAGAGAGAGAGAGAGAGAGAGAGAGAGAGAGAGAGAGAGAGAGAGAGAGAGAGAGAGAGAGAGAGAGAGAGAGAGAGAGAGGAGTTGAAGGGGGGAGGTAGGTCTTGGTGCCGTAGGGATAACACACACTCGTCCTCTTGCGCCTCGCGAGCGATTTGGTCTGAGTTCGAGTCCTGGCTGGGCAGAACTGGCTGAGTACCATTCCTTATACTATTTCGCCCTGTTCACCCAGCAGGACTAGAGTGCTTGGCTGCTTACCGATTGTCGGGTTGTGTTCCAGGGAAAACTAGTAAGGGTTGGCTTAGCATGATATATGGGGGAAGGAAAGCCATCAGCCTGCTAACATGAGTCAGTAGTCACCTACTTCTGCACACACACCTGTGTAAAAGAATATACAGGGCCAGAGACAGGCTAGCAAGCAAACACAGATATACATAGATGCAAATATGCAGATACAGAGGAATATACTTACCCTAACACAACCAGGCAATCATACAGGCAGGCAATCAGACTGTATAGTCAAGCAATACATACCCTAACACGAACATTTTTATAGTCAGGCAATCAGAGAGATAAAACACATAATTACGCACATTGATGCCCGCTGCTAGAAAGAGAAAAATGGTAGTGGATGAAATAAACGAGGCAAAAGCTGTTAGATAAGAGGAATGAAAAGCAGGAAACAAATACTGAGAGAGAGAGAGAGGTGTTTGAAGGGAAAATATATGGAACGAGAAGACAAGAAAATAGAGAATGTTTTCAGATTAGGCTAATACATGAAAAAATAAAATCGGCTGGTAAAGATAATATTTACAAACGAATCAAGAAAAAAGAGGCAATATGAAGAAGAAAAACAATTTCCAACATGAACAAAGTTACAAAAAAGTTTATCTACCGAAGGATTTGAGAAAGGAGGCGAGTACTGCAGCTATAGAAAAGAATATTAGGCACAGGATACCTGGTCAGAGACCGGACCGCGGGGATGTTGATCCCCGGAAGCTACACGCGGTAGTCACTGGTACAAGGAATAGGTATGGCAACCTCAAGTTCTTCAGCTTGATGCCCATAGGACCAACATCCAATGAGAATGATAAACTCCTCCCCATCTCTACACTCTCCCACCCCTCACACTCACTGTGAGCTGAGGTCATGCACTCAACTCACAGCCCACTGTCCCAGCACTTCTCTTCTCCCTACCTGCCCCAGCCCTGAGACCTCAGATCCTGCAACACTAGATCGTGTCCAGTATCCCGCTTGCCATCTCCTTCTCAAACTCCCGTCAACTAACTACTTCCACGCTGATCTCTGTCAGGAAAATCATTGTAAACAGAACTCAGAGGGAAGACCTCACCAAAAAATAATTGACTTCCATAACAATAAATGCTGGAACTTAACAGACAAATTTGTTTCTCAAGAAAGGGGGAGGACAAGGAAAGGCATAAAACAAGGATGTAAGAAGCAAAGTGAATAAAGACCAGATCATAGAAAACCTACAATAAACGAACGAGAGAAAGCAGAAAGAGGGATACCAGAGAACCAGAAAGAGTACTAGTTAGAATGAGAAGAACAGAGGTAATTTAGATGCATCGATGCAACAATCCAACAGCTGCTTGAAAGCCATATGAGTGGGACAGCAACAGTTAAAAAGCAGGTGACATAACTGAGAATGACAGAGAAGTGTGCGAAGAACTCATCCAGAGATTTCAGGAGATCTTCTCAATTACACAAAGGAAAGGTCTTCTGATCTACTGAGAATGAATCCAAACTTAACAGTACTGGAGACGTTTGAGATAACCACTTTATAACCAGAGCAGTGAGGCTTGAGTTGTGAGAATAAACTGAAAGAACTGAATCTTACGTGACTCGAAAAATATAAAGCAACGCAGACATGATCACGACATACAAAACATATTCAATGTAATCTACTAGCTAGATCATGATAGACACTTTTTTTAACATAGAATAAGGGAACATAGACACAAAAGTATCTAAACAACCCATAGAAATGTTAATTAAGAACTACAATGTAAAAACAGAGAATAGACTTGATTTCCAGGAAATAATTATTTTGGAGAAAGCGGATTTTATGCCTGAATTCAAAAGTAGATACGACACATTTAAGGAGTTAGGAAACAGCTACACGAGGCTATTGTATCGCTCTAATGATACAATAGCTCTAGTGAGGCTATTGTATTGTATTGTATATATTGTACACAAAACTGAAGCTCGACCCCGATTGTGCGAATAGATGAGTACTTATATTCACATATATTCAGATAAGCACTCGTGCATAGTGTATAAGTTATACTTATACACTATACAGTATAGTCTTATTGACTTAGCGCTTTCTTCTCACAATTACACATACACACAAAGGGTTGACATGGGAAGGGGGGGGGTTATATATTCCAAAGAGGTGTACCTCATTTCTCTGTGTATTCAGACAGTGAGAGTTTATTTCAGTTGGGGTATAGTGTTTAGGGAAAAAGTATTCTTGCTGGATAGTCACTATAAGCTGTTATGGTGCAGCCCGTCCTCTCCACAACGTCACAAAAATGATGTACTAAATTGCACAAACCTAACCTAAGCAAACCTAAACTAACCTAACCTAACCTACCTCACGAATAGAAAACGTGACAGCCCATCAATTTAGCGACCCGCTGTGATTTGTAACGCATCATATTTTGACGTTGGGGGGAATTGTTAGGTCAAAATATGATGTATTATGCGAAGGGACAGGTTGACCGTGACCGTAATAATCCTCCGGAGGTTGACAGGCCTTAACATTAAGGTCAAAATAAAGGACGGGTTACACAGAGACGGAGAATGGAGGGACAGGCGGGATGTGCTTGACAGTGGTCACGACCCAGGCATTCCTGTTAGTGAATCACCGCCTTGGAATCACGGAGGTGTTGACTTTGAGTGTGTGTGTGTGTGTGTGTGTGTGTGTGTGTGTGTGTGTGTGTGTGTGTGTGTGTGTGTGTGTGTGTGTGTGTGTGTGTGTGTGTGTGTGTGTGTGTGTGTGTGTGTGTGTGTGTGTGTGTGTGTGTGTGTGAGAGACAGAGAGAGACAGAGAGACAGAGAGAGAGAGAGAGAGAGAGAGAGAGAGAGAGAGAGAGAGAGAGAGAGAGAGAGAGAGAGAGAGAGAGAGAGAGAGAGAGAGAGAGAGAGAGAGAGAGAGAGAGAGAGAGAGAGACTAACATTACCTACACACCAAGACAGCCAGTCACCAGGCACAAGCCCAGGTGGTATAGGCCCCCTGAGAGTGCAGGCAACACACAGGTGTAACCTGGAATGTTGTTGTGGTCAAGAGGTATGAGCAGGCTATGAATGGGGGTGAGTCAACGCCCGGGAATGTTACGCTGTCTGTGGGCATGAATGACTGGTACCAGCGGGCCCCGTCACTGGTTGGGCTCAGGGAGGGAGGGAAGAGAGGAGGGAGGGGAGGGAGGGAACTCTAGAGAGGGGGAGAGGGGGGCATTGCAAGGAGAAGGGGGGGGGGTGCAGGCAGCAGAAGTGGGCACGCAACTCTCTCGTGCTGCAGTGATGCAATATTAGGGAACTGAGGCTACGGTACCAGGCCCTCACTAGCACCTGTGGGATGAAATTCTCCTGCACGCTTGCTCATGTATTCCGTGCGGGGGCTCAGGGCACCTGCTCAGGCTGGCCCCTCCTTGCACTGGCACACGTCGCCCCGTCCCTCACTATGTGCAGCCACTCGGGGCCATGATTCACTACTTAACTTAGGCAAGGGGGCCCCCACCTTCCTCCAGTGGGTCAAGCGGAACCACAATTCACGCTTTGGTGGACCACTAGCCAGCCACCCACTACTTCCTGTGTCCACGGGGAGGGAGGAAGCACTCCCCCACTACCCACTTTGGGCCGCCCACCAGCTGCTAGAGATGCCCAAGGTGGCGCAATAGCTACTTGCCCGAGCTGGGCCTCGGGCAAGTAGGCCTTGACCAAGTGACAAGTATCTTGACCTATTATCAATATGGAAGAGAACATGGAGGCAGAAGAGCAGGATAAGTAAACGGACGAAAAGGAACAGGAGGAAGCGGAAGAGAAAATGAAGAAGCTGGAGAATATGGAGGAAATAGATGGCAGTGAGGATGAAGAAGAGAAAGAAGGAGGCGGAGGAAGAGGAGGGAGTATAGAGGGAAAAGAAGGAAGGTATAGGGAGGGTGTTGGATCCTGTCTGACACACATCGGAGGCCATGGCCTCCTGGAGCCCAGCTCTCTCACCGTTATCTACACCAACTCTACGGCATGTGTGGAATATAAGGTGTGGTGTGTGGTGGTGGTGGTGGTGTGTGGTGGAGGTGGTGGTGGTGGTGTGTGGTGATGGTGGTGGTTGTAGTTGTGTGTGGTGATGGTGGTGGTTGTGGTGGTGTGTGGTGTGGTGGTGTGTGGTGTGTGGTGGAGGTGGTGGTGGTGTGTGGTGGAGGTGGTGGTTGGTGATGGTGGTGTGGTGGTGATGATGTTGTGGTGGTGATGGTGGTGGTGGTGATGGTAGTTGTACTCATCTAGTTGTGCTTGCGAGAGTTGAGCTTTATCTCTTTGGTCCCGCCTCTCAACTGTCAATCAACTGATGTACAAATTCCTGAGCTTAATGGGCTCTATCATATCTACATTTGATACTGTATATGGAATCTGCCTCCACCACATCACTGCCTAATGCCTAATGCATTTCATTTGTTAACTACTCTGAGAGAGTAGTTAATAAATTCTGACCTATCAGTGACCACAGAGCAGTGAGGTCAAGTTCCTTATCTATACCAGCCTGGCTCTATCTGTTACCTTATAATGTAACTATTCTGGCGTTTGAATTTGTTGTCGAATGTGACCTAAAGGTTGTGTATGGAGGTGGCTTCCACAACTTCTGCAGTCAGTACATTCCCCCTTGTTGACCCCCAGTACAACGTATACCAGTACTTCCTTACACTTTATCGACCGACTGGCGTTTCTAGCTTCGACCTATATCCTCACAGCTTCTAGGTACTAGCTTCGACCTATATCCTCATGTCCTACTTTCAACTAATTTATATTGGCTGCCCTAGCCTATTCCCCCTCAGTATCTTCTACATTACCATCATGTCTCTTCTGTTGTTAGATGTATATAGCGACTTTAGCCTATTCTAGTTCTGGCAATAACCATGTTGTAAACATTTGTACTCTTGTTCAATTTTGATCGCGTGTGTTTAGGTTGCGGATGCCAGGACGGATATTCCGGTACTGATGTAACTTAAGCTTTGTACAATGTCTTGAAAGAGTCCGTATTTAGGTATTTAATTGATATTTAATTGTATTTAATTAGGCATTTAATTCTTTTGCTAGCCAGCTTATTATATGGAGCCATTTAATATATATATATATTATATATATATATATATATATATATATATATATATATATATATATATATATATATATATATATATATATATATATATATAGTTTTCAGTTGCATATTGTCCTGGGGACCATTCAGGCTTGTTCGCATATATATATATATATATATATATATATATATATATATATATATATATGTATGTATATATATATATATTCATATATATATATATATATATATATATATATATATATATATATATATATATATATATATATATATAGTAAATGGGAGAATATTTAATGCTAATAAGTACTTAATGTGCGGCCGTCGCATCACTCCGTCTCGTGGGGTCGTGTTCTCATTCTTCCTTCCCGGTAATGATGTGTCAGCTGTTTGTGTTGTGAGGTATACAGATGAGGTGGGAGGGAGGGGAGAGAGAGAGAGAGAGAGAGAGAGAGAGAGAGAGAGAGAGAGAGAGAGAGAGAGAGAGAGAGAGAGAGAGAGAGAGAGAGAGAGAGAGAGAGAGAGAGAGAGAGAGAGAGAGAAAGAGAAAGAGAGAGAGAGAGACAGAGACAGAGAGACTAACATTAGTTAAGAACACCCCCAAAACAACAAAAGATCAGCGTTACCAATAAACTTAAGCGACAAAGAGAAAGAGAGAAGTGGCGAGTGAATCATCTCACATCCGGAGGAACAGGCGAGAGTGTGTGGGAGGACCTGGGTGGCTGCTGGGTGCTGGGAGGACATGGGTGGGTGCTGGGTGCTGGGAGGACCTGGGTGGGTGCTGGGTGCTTGGTGGACCTGGGTGGGTGCTGGGTGCTGGGAGGACCTGGGTGGGTGCTGGGTGCTGGGAGGACCTGGGTGGGGTGCTGGGAGGACCTGGGTGGGTGCTGGGTGCTGGGAGGACCTGGGTGGGTGCTGGGTGCTGGGAGGACCTGGGTGGGTGCTGGGTGCTGGGAGGACCTGGGTGGGGTGCTGGGTGCTGGGAGGACCTGGGTGGGTGCTGGGTGCTGGGAGGACCTGGGTGGGTGCTGGGTGCTGGGAGGACCTGGGTGGGGTGCTGGGTGCTGGGAGGACCTGGGTGGGTGCTGGGTGCTGGGAGGACCTGGGTGGGTGCTGGGTGCTGGGAGGACCTGGGTGGGTGCTGGGTGCTGGGAGGACCTGGGTGGGGGCGGGGTACTGGGAGGACCTGGGTGGGTGCGGTACTGGGAGGACCTGGGTGGGTGCTGGGTGCTGGGAGTACCTGGGTGGGCGGGGTGCTGGGAGGACCTGGATGGGCGGGGTACTGGGTGGACCTGGGTGGGTGCTGGGTGCTGGGAGGACCTGGGTGGGTGCTGGGTGCTGGGAGGACCTGGGTGGGTGCTGGGAGGACCTGGGTGGGGTGCTGGGTGCTGGAGGACCTGGGTGGGCGCTGGGTGCTGGGAGGACCTGGGTGGGCGGGGTGCTGGGAGGACCTGGGTGGGTGCTGGGTGCTGGGAGGACCTGGGTGGGCGGGGTGCTGGGAGGACCTGGATGGGCGGGGTACTGGGAGGACCTGGATGGGCGGGGTACTGGGTGGACCTGGGTGGGTGCTGGGTGCTGGGAGGACCTGGGTGAGTGCTGGGTGCTGGGAGGACCTGGGTGGGTGCTGGGTACTTGGATTCGAGAAGTAGAGACAATGTTGCGGTCAGTTATACAATACACCGGTTAGTTAGTTTAGTTTAGTTCATTTATTATGCACCCCATACCCATCTTGTGGGCGGTAGTGGAAAGGGTTACAGAGGCACATAATGGGCTCAGGGACTGAACCCCACAATTCAGTCCCTGAGCCCATTATGTGCCTCTGTAACCCTTTCCACTACCATAATAGCCAAATAATAGACATTTAATGGACCATAAAGGAACTCAAAGATACAAAACAACAGAAACTGAAAATAATAATACCAAAACAAACAGAAAAATACATAATCATAAAAACCCAGTACCAAACACCACGCCCCGACCTTAAGGGGAAACCCCAGACATTTTAAAAACATCAAATCTTATATATTATCTTCAAACTCCGTCGACTCTCTTAAGTTAATTCCAACTGCGCGAGACACAACTAGTTAAGTGAAACTTTGAAGTTGTACAATGGTATAATGACTGGCAGGAGTGATGTTAAACAATGGTATAATGACTGGCAGGAGTGATGTTAAACAATGGTATAATGACTGGCAGGAGTGATGTTAAACAATGGTATAATGACTGGCAGGAGTGATGTTAAACAATGGTATAATGACTGGCAGGAGGGATGTTATACAAGGGTATAATGACTGGCAGGAGTGATGTTGTACAAGGGTATAATGACTGGCAGGAGTGATGTTGTACAAGGGTATAATGACTGGCAGGAGTAATGTTGTACAATGGTATAATGACTGGCAGGAGTGATGTTATACAATGGTATAATGACTGGCAGGAGTAATGTTGTACAAGGGTATAATGACTGGCAGGAGTGATGGTATACAATGGTATAATGACTGGCAGGAGTAATGTTGTACAAGGGTATAATGACTGGCAGGAGTGTTGTTGTACAAGGGTATAATGACTGGCAGGAGTAATGTTGTACTAGGGTATAATGACTAGCAGGAGTGTTGTCATACAGGGGTATAATGACTGGCAGGAGTAATGTTGTACAAGGGTATAATGACTGGCAGGAGTGTTGTTATACAAGGGTATAATGACTGGCATGAGTAATGTTGTACAAGGGTATGATGATTGGCAGGAGTAGTGTTGCATAAGGGTATGATGACTGGCAGGAGTAATGTTGTACAAGGGTATAATGACTGGCAGGAGTGATGTTATACAATGGTATAATGACTGGCAGGAGTAATGTTGTACAAGGGTATAATAACTGGCAGGAGTGATGTTGTACAATGGTATAATGACTGGCAGGAGTAATGTTGTACAAGGGTATAATGACTGGCAGGAGTGATGTTATACAATGGTATAATGACTGGCAGGAGTGATGTTATACAATGGTATAATGACTGGCAGGAGTAATGTTGTACAAGGGTATAATAACTGGCAGGAGTGATGTTGTACAATGGTATAATGACTGGCAGGAGTAATGTTGTACAAGGGTATAATGACTGGCAGGAGTGATGTTATACAATGGTATAATGACTGGCAGGAGTAATGTTGTACAAGGGTATAATGACTGGCAGGAGTGATGTTATACAATGGTATAATGACTGGCAGGAGTAATGTTGTACAAGGGTATAATGACTGGCAGGAGTGATGTTATACAATGGTATAATGACTGGCAGGAGTAATGTTGTACAAGGGTATAATGACTGGCAGGAGTGATGTTATACAATGATATAATGACTGGCAGGAGTAATGTTGTACAAGGATATAATGACTTGCAGGAGTAATGTTGTACAAGGGTATAATGACTGGTAGGAGAAATGTTGTACAAGGGTATAATGACTGTTAGGAGTGTTGTTATACAAGGGTATAATGACTGGCAGGAGTAATGTCGTACAAGGGTATAATGACTGGCAGGAGTAATGCCGTACAAGGATATAATGACTTGCAGGAGTAATGTTGTACAAGGGTATAATGACTGGCAGGAGTAATGTTGTACAAGGGTATAATGACTGGCAGGAGTAATGTCGTACAAGGGTATAATGACTGGCAGGAGTAATGCCGTACAAGGATATAATGACTTGCAGGAGTAATGTTGTACAAGGGTATAATGACTGGCAGGAGTAATGTTGTACAAGGGTATAATGACTGGCAGGAGTGTTGTTGTACAAGGGTATAATGACTACTTAAGTAGAGTACTGAATATTATGCCTAAAAAGGCGAAATCCTTTTGGATAAAATATAGAAAATAGAGTTTAAGTTGTATAAAGTTGCACATACCTTTAGTGACTCAAACATTACTTACAACACTCGTGAATTGG